CCAAAGCATACGCAGGTACTGCTTCTTTTGGTTGAAACCCCCACCAATAGCCCTCGCTATCTAGGGAATTATGAGACAACTAGATGCCAATTAAGCGGTGCAATTCTTCAAATCAAAAAACGATGCAAAAAGAACTTATAACTTAGGGACTAGTCTTAATTAAGCTCTATTCGAGTCTCTGGGTAGTTGCAGAACATCACCTCTTAGTTATCACATATTTTAAATTCCGAAGAAACCTAGTTCCAGAAGACTAGTTTCCCAAGAAAACAACTGGCAATGGCAGCCATACATGACCAACCATCAAATTTTTGCGAAAGAATGAAAACCAAAACAAAAGCAAATGAAAATGCAAAAACTGCGCAAATTGCTTTGTTTTTGCATTTGTTTTTAGTTATTTCCTGGTACCACTTCTGCACTTGTGAGAACTTTTGCCCGTCATCAATATTTGCTGCACGCTTCTAGGAAAAAACAATCAAATGCGAACATTTTTCAGCGAAAAACGACAAACACGTACAGCTACATGTTTTGTTTGTTGTTTGCTTCACCTTTTGTTGTTTTGCTTTATAGAGTTATTCTGGTTCCTTGTATCTATGGTTCGCGAAAATTTTGGGGATTTGACCCACAACCAGATCCATCATGTGAATCATCCCACATTCCTCTTCGTTGTTCGATTTTTTTCGAAAAGCTGCTGCGAGGCTGCTTGTCGCAGATGCTGGAGGAGGGCTCTCTGATTTTCAGGAACGTCACGATGTGGTCTTGCTGACCGCGCCTGCAGGAAATGACAGGTTCCCAATCGTCTTGGTTTGAGGCTCTGGGTTTTGCTCTTACTGGCTCTGCAGGAGCGACAAAGGCCAACGCAGGGAATCGATCGGCATTCATTCCTTGTTTGGCACTTGCGCTAGGTGGTTCTACTGCTAGATCACTACAGCTCACACTGCCCGAGTCTTGCGAAGCTTCCTGTGACCTGCGCCGTGATTGCAAGGCCGGCATTGGGTCAGGCCCACGCCTGTCTTTGTTTACTGCAACACCTGTGCAAACGCGTGATATTCATAGGTTTTCACTATATATATGTGCGTATATGAGACCAGGTTGCGTAACGACCACTGCCATTCTGTTTAATGGGCCAACAGGGCGCCTGAATTGGTCCGCGCATCTGGAGGGGTTGAAACAAGCGCAAATTGGCAGGATCTCGCACCAATTCCATATATTCAAAAAAAATAAAAGTGAATGAGGACACCACCTCTGGGCATGAACGAGTGGAGAAAGTTTTCAGGGACGGTGGAGGCCGTTGTTGATTCTTCGGCCTACCATTGGCCCTGCCCGAGCGCGCAGTTAGTCAAGGAAATACCCAGCTGGATAGTTTTCACATTCTCTCTCTCTCTATGGTTTTTTCTGGCTTTCGCTCATGTTTGTTTCTTTCTCTTAGATCAACTCGTCGTTTTTACATTTACAACGCAATATATATATATATATTTACATATGTGTGCGTCATACTTCTTTTTGCAGAAACTATGCCAAGCTCCATTGGGCCCAAAGAAAAACAAGTGTGTCAACGGTTTGCGTGGCGACCATGAGCTGCAATGGCCGGAAGAAGGTCCATCTGGAAAGCAGGAGGCGCAACATCGATTTGCGTTCTATGGAGCAGAACAGTCGCTGGAGTTTGCAGCGTTTGGTGGGTGGAGCATTCGTTTTACGGTTAACAATGGCTCTGTCGATGTACGTTGTGCGCCGGGTCATGAGGAGTGCAGATGGGAAAGCCTTTGTTATATTTGCGTCGATTGAATGCGTCGCGTCGTTGACATATCCAACCTTGGTGTGTATAGAGGTGGGGAGGCAGTAGATGCACAGAGTTGTCGCGCACGATTCAGAATTTGTAGCGCAAGGGTGGCAGGCAGAGTTGCAACAATGCATTGAATCAGCGTTGAAGAGAATCGGCAAATGTGGGAAGCAAGCGAGTCCTAGAGCGTCTATGTCACAGCAGCTTGACTTTCTGCCGGCTGCCGACGCTTGCTGTCACTGAGGCAGTGCGACAATTGCAAGAGAGATGCGGGAGTGTAGAAGAGCTGCGGATGATTCTCAAAGACTGGCCCAAATCCATTGGGGGAGGGAGACTTTTTAGGAACGCAACCTCATGAGTCTGAGGCAAGACATAAATGATTATATGATGTCGTTGGCTGCAACTGGAAACGCGCGTAATTACGAGGTTTGGCGAAATGGAGAGACGACCGCACCTGCATCCGCGCCGCTCGCATCCGCGCCCACGTTGCCGACACCCACATGGCCCTCGCGCGCGGTACCACCCACCCACTGCTGCCGGCTCTCCCAAATGTTGCCAGCGCGCACTCCACTCCAGACCAGCAACCTATGAGAGGGTTCGTTGCGACGCAAAGAAAGACCAGTTGGGCAGAGAGAAGATCTTCTTGACAGCTTGGCCGCCGTGAACTCACCGGAACAGTTAGTTCCAGGCGAGCTTGGTATTTGCGGATGCAAAGCGACAGCGTAGTGTTCATGGACGTTGCACGCGGCATTGATTTCATTGAGAGAAGGATATTGCAGCCTTAAAGTGGAGGGAAAGTTAAATCAAGGTCGAGGAGGGAATGCAAAGGCTTTTCTTTTCGCGTCGGACACCATTTGGCAAAGGATGGTTAGAACAAGCAAAACTGCAACGACAAGGACAAGGAAAAGAGAGTTAGTTACTGTTAGTTGACAGGATGTGGAAAAGGATGGAAAAGGTTCTTCCTGGGGGAGCACTCCATAGACTTTGGGATTTCAGGGCAGTTGCAATAACTGTGGCGGCAAGGAAGGCCACAAGGCCAAGGATTGCTGGAGCAAGGCTGGAGGTGGGCAAAGCTGGAGCAAGGGCGATTTAAAAGAAGTTGGGTCGCTGAGCCGCGGAGCCATAAGTAAGCTGGAGCCGCAGGCGCAATCTATAGTTGAGGATGGCCAGTAAGCCGAAATGGCGCCGTGCTCGAGAATGGAAAATTCTGAATATCTCCCCCCGTCTGCTTACAGCAGTTCATGGAGGGGATGTTCAGAATCGTCTTACCGAATGCAGTAAGCAGATCTTCTGTGTGCTTACAGGGCTGTGTTTCTCGTTATACTTATGCCTCTTTCCTGTCTGTATTCTATAAACATCATCTCTGTTCTGAAAGCTTGCTATGATGTTCTTTCAATCCTTTCCATTTTCTTGTTCCTTTTCTGTTTCCTGTGCCTTCCCATACCTTCCTTAACCTTTCCGTGTCGTTGTTGGCACACTCACAGTGCATCTCACCCACACAGTTGCAGTAAGCAGTTTCACTTGCCCACGTCACATTGATGTCATGACCATCCATGAGAACCTGCTTACTACTCTTGCTGAGCATATATGTCATCTGTATACATGTCCAAAATGTGGGAAATCACCGTTTTGGCGTTGCAGTAAGCAGAAAAGTCTCTTCTTACCACTCGTCTTCGACTATATATACTTTATTAAAGCGCTCAGAACATGTTTCGAAAAGCAGTTTGAATCTAGTCACCACCCGTGCTTGGAACGATGTTTTAACGCCACAGATACCGCAAACATTTCTCCCGGCGCGGGCGCGAACATCATACAGGAGCAGCTGTGACAACAATACTGCGCGTATGTTAAGCATGGTTCTCCACAGTTGGTGGAAATTCTGAACAAGGTATTTGCACGCATGTTCATTTCAGCGCGGGAGTTGCAATTTGCAAGCAAGGGCAGGTGTATCCAGATTGCTCGAGCAGTATTTTAAAGTATGTTGCAAGGACTGAGAGTCGAATCACGGTCTTCTTATTGAACCATAGCTCTCAGGCATAAGGTCGCATGACTTCGGATGCAGATGGATGCAGACAGATTTGAGCAAAGAGACAATTGCATTGACGCTGTAGCTTGGATTTCCCCAGAGACTGTCGACAAGGCAGGAAGGTTGAAATGGGCAATTTTCGAGACCGGCATGTTTTGTAGTCATTGGGAAGGAACCCATCTCAACAAAATGTGTTAGTTTGAACAAAAGAGGTCATCGCGACCGATGCAAAGAATAAGATGGGTTGTTTTTGAGCACAACCTGTTCATACAATGCTCCTTGAACTCCAGAACTCCATTGACCTCTGATGAGAAGACCCTTCTGAAACAGGCACGGTACCATGTTTGGCAAGTTGAACAGAAGCATGCACGGGCGCAAGACGCATCTTGGATGTTCCAGATGAATTGGAACCAAGTGTTGGGATATTCAAACACCGGATCCCTTTCTTCAATTGCATGGTCTGCAGTGTGTCTCTAGCACTGTCCTCCAAAGGCAATCATTTTGCAGGCACGCTTCGTGCAAATCTAAAACACACATTTCAATCCGAATCCCACCTGTAATTGGCATCCTACACTCTCCACTCCCTCGATCTCAATTTGACTCTGGTATGGCCCTAATATGCCTTCAAGCCTTGCTGTCATCATGCAAGCGCCGAAAGTTTGGTCGCATCAGTCATCAAGCAGCAGTGCGGAGTCTAAATTTCAGAGTAGATATTGTACATATATGTACATACTATTGCGAAGTACGTATCTCCCGAGTGTGTTTGGCCTCGTGCCAGCCCAGGGTGTACCCGACGAGTGTTCTCTCTGTGGCCCCGTTGAACGGGGGTTTGTCTACGTCCCTGCGCCCGGGGCCAGAGCAGCTCGCCGCGAGCGTAGGATGCTTACGCCAAACGTTGATTAAGACTTGAGGGTTTTGATTGAGCTTGAGCAGGCAGCCGTTTTGGCAAGCCACAAGTTGCCCGCAGGGCGCTAGAGCAGCTAGCCATTTTGGCCAGCCCGGGCAGACCGCAGCGGTTGTACTTCTCTCAAGGCCCTGGCGGTCCCAACCTTAAGCGCGCACACAGCCCGTACATGCTCCTACATACCGAGATCAGGCTAGGCCCAGGCTTGGCTTCGTTGTTTTCCAGCCCCTCCATCTGGTCCCCCCTTCACCCTTTCCCCCTTCACACACGCTTTCCTTATTCTTTCTTTTCATGTTTTCTCTGCATTCACGTCCCCTCATCTCATTCGATTGCTTCTTTTGCGCACACATCGGTCCGGCCCTCAGCGTGTACGCGCGCATTTATTTACATTTACATATAAGCCAGGTTTCAGATCGCCCAGGTCTTGATAATGTGGTATGGTTCTTCAGTTGCAGCGCAATCACACACATGTTTTTTTCCGTCTTCTCATGTCTACATGCACACCAGTCTGCCCCTTAGTTGTTAAGCTTTTGGGCCCTCCCACGCGGGGGGCGTGTGTGTGTGAAACCCTTGGAATGAAAGGGTGCCTTTTGGCTTTCAAAAACGCAGGGGTCACATTGCAGTTGATTGCAAGGGCTGCAATCGTGGTTGATATCTGGAAAGGACGCTTTTCAGACGTACCTGCTTTCTCTTGAACTGTTGATCAAGCTGTGACTCTACTCTCCTGTAAAGTGCTAATGAGTTCTGCAGGCAAGTGCTCGCCGTTCGGATTCTCGTCGCGTTCTTCGAGCTCATGCCTTTGGAATTTGGGTTCATGGTCAAATTGTCTTACGCACTTTTACTCTGACTTCTTAAGCGTTCATACCTAGGTGGGCGTGTGGCAAGTGGCTTTCAGTTCAGTACGCATTTTCCGACGTGTGCATGGGTAATGATTTGCCCACGGGACTCTTCAAGTGGCATATCATGTTCCAACCTCCGATAGTTTTTGTGTTTGATGAAAGCGTCAAAGTGAACATGTTTGCACCGGAACAATGCAAATATCAGTGATTTGTCAAAACGTTTTCTTGTGATTGTTTGACACATCCTTCGTGTGTGACTGTTGTAATCCCACATTCCTAGATGGCGGTGTCCACTCGACATGTGCTCTCCAGAATGGTGGCGAAAGATGTCGGCAACGACGACGACAACTATCCTGTCAAAACCAATCCCTTGCTGGATAAGATCCTGGGCAGCAGACCGTGCCAGAATGCGGCGCAGCACGCATCAGCATCAGGACACCCTGTTCTGCTCATAGAACCAGAACGCCATGCCAAACCGAGTAACCAAGGAAATCTGCAGGACGAGCGATTGCAGAGGTGTGCCTTCGACCTTTTCGGGGTTTATTGCAGGGTGTTGGTTTGAGCAAGTTCTGCAATCCGAAGTGAGCCATGCATGGAGGGCTTCGCCAATTGGATGGAAACGACGTTCAATTGCAAAGCCGATGCCTGGGGCTCGGCACAAATTTGGGCAATTGAACCATGCCCATCAGCGTTTGGTTTACCTTCAATTGTTTCATGTGTTCAGCACAAAGATGCACACTTTCAGGACATCCCCAAGCATCCTTCAATGATCCAGGAAGAAATGGAGGTTGTAAAGGCTTTGGATTGGAAGGCCGGTCAAAAGTCAGCAATATCAATATCCGTGGTTGTTAGTCAATCCCAACATATGTATTGCAACTGCACCACTGTTTGGATAGGGAGAGCACGTGATTGTTTGAATAGAATTCCGTTGAACTTGTTTGAAGGTGCATTACCCTTGCTTAGAGCGGTGGCTTTGCTTGTATTCAACTCGCTTCAGCGGGCTCATAGGCACAAATCACTGGGGAGATCGACCAAGATCCAAAGACTGTGCAAGAGGGACAGAAAGTCAATCATATAAACAGACAAACAGTGCCAGAGATAGCACGCATGAGAGAAAGAGAGAGAGAGAGAGAGCAAAAGAGCATCTTCAGAGCGCAAGAATTGTGTCACGTCTTTCCTATTGTATGGCACAAGACAGCAGCAGGTGTTCGGAGCGCTGCGCAGTTTGAGGGGATGAAGGAGTTTGTTCGGACGTCGGCGCGCGCAACTCGTCTATGCAGACGATTGATGCCGGTGGCACTTGTTACTAGTAGCTTCTTGTTACTACTAGTAAGGCACCTGTTACTACTAGCGTGGCACTTGTTACTAGTAGCTTCTTGTTAGGTCCTGGTCCATGACATTTGTGGAAAAGACGAAGAATTCTTTGCTGTGCCTGTCAGCGAGCTGTAGCAATCGAGGCGATTCTTACGACGAATGAAACGGTTGCGCAAGATCTTAGCTGGGGCCGCGGCAGCATCTTAGATCTCAAGTTGCCCCCAACGAAACAATGAGGTCATGGAGATTTGGCCTTGGGCCTCTTTTGCTCGAGCTTGGTGCGAGGAGGATACCTGCCCCTCGGTGTTTCCACCAGTCGACTTGGAAGGAACGATGAGTTAACCTGAGGCCACTGATGAGCTTAAAGCCAGAGGAGGTCGACGAAACCGTCATAAGCTTAGCAGCAAGTCTTTGCCTCGGTGAATGACGATAGGGCTATGGACGGGCAGTCGCAGAAGGCAAGATCCGAAGTGTAGATGAGACAATGAAGAGCTTTTCGCAATGTGTTTCCTTTTTTTTCGCAATTCCAAAATTGCTGTTGAAGTCAATGGATTGAAATGAAAATCGGGTGACAAGCTGCACAAGCTATTTGAGGAATGGTCTGATTTGTTTATCTTGGTTGCTCCCCAAGAACTCGGAGGCGGGATCGCCTGTATCGGAGCTCCTTCCCGATCGCATGAAGTCTGGCAGGAAAGGCCGAAGAGCGTGCATCGGCGTCATCCCAGTTCCTCAGTTGTGAGTCTGTGAGATCGCAAGGACGCTACCAGGAGCAAGGACGCTACTAGTAGCTCCTGGCATTACTATACTAACAAGAAGCTACTAGTAGCATCTAGTAGCAAAGGGCATCGCTACTAGGAGCAAGGACGCTACTGTACTAATTAGGTGGAGGCCACTGTATTTTCCCCGAAAAGACTCAGCCAGACATCTGGATATCGGGACATCACCCAAACCACGAAGAAGAGCAGGAAACCATCCAAGACACATGGTCTTGGAATCTTCACGAGTTGTATAGTTTATAACTTTCCGTTGTTGACCAAGGATTCTTGAGCTGTTGTGCATGGTTGTCGAGGGCCTAGATGCTTTGCTCGAATTACAGGTAATGCGAAATGCAATAAATGAGGTGCAGGAAGATGAGAAGGAGATTTGTCAGAAAGTTCATCATGCTGTGATGGCCTTGGATTATGGGCATCGGAACTCAAATTTGCCAGAGCAGCACACAAAAGCGCCCTGTGCAAGTCAAGGTTCGAGAATTGAAGTGGGCTGCTCGTTGGATTCACAACTACCGCCGCAATGTGAGGCAGAGATGATTTCACAATAATTATGATTGTACCTCAAGAGAAAAGCAAACAGGTAAAGTGACGATTTCTTCCTCATTATTGTTGGTCGTTTGTTTACGCGAACAGCGGTCGAGTCTAGGTTCACAGCGAACAGTGAAACCTAAGCCGAAACGGCCCCCAACCTCTAACTCGCTACCGGGTTGCAAGGCCTTGAAAGCCCCTGGGACCTCTTCACTCGCCTGCCAGCTGTAAAGCTTCTGATGCGTAAAAAAACCGAGCTACGCCTCTCAGCACTCCACGAAAATGACAACGCCTCAAGTCCAAGATCCAAGCCAACACTCGTGAGTCGAACCCTTCTCCAATGCGTGTCACATCCAGCAGCGCGCAAAATGCCCTTGAAGCACTTGCTAAACCGGCGCAACTCCGACGCAAACGTAGCAGGAACAAATGGGTTCAAGGTCCTACCACCAAACTGCGAAAAAGAACACTGCTTGTCCAGGCAAAAGCTCGTAAAGATCTCATTCAAAGAAACAAAATTTGCAGAAGCCTCCACTTCCTCAATCCACTGTACAACTCCCGAAAGCGTTTGGAAGCTAAATTCTTCAAGGCCAGGTGCATTGTGAAGCCAATCACCCCGTTGCAGCATAAAGGCATCTGTCAAGACCATTTCGGCAGGCCCACTGTCAACCAAAGGCTCGATAGGTTCCTCCACATCAAGGTCAGCAGAAGAACCATTCTGCCGAGAACTCATGTCTTCTCTTGCCACTGCAAGGTGCAGGCATGCAAAGCTTCTGGCTGTCTCCATGGAAGTATTCCACTGCAAGACAAAGTCCTGATAAATGGCCTCAACCCAAGCAGGACGAGAATGATGTTTCAATTTCGCCTCTTTGTCAACTCTCTCGTTCATCTCACAGCGCCACTCAATCAACGGTCCAGCTTCCCCTACTGGCTCGGAGTGTGACCGAACCTTGTGCAGGAAAACACTCGACGTACAAACTGCGAACCTCTCACTAAGCAGAGCCCATAGGTCCTCGTTCAAGTCAAAAGGAAGGTCTCCCGTCGTCTAAAAACTTCTCCAGACTTCGACGACATACGAGCAATCTGACCATACATGCAGTTCGGCACAAACGCAAATAGCCCATCTCACGCATGTTGCTCGAATATTATTTTGAATGATGCCTGGAACCCACCCTGAAGCAACCAAATCCCCTGACTGAGCATCAATGAAGCTCCAAGCGGCAAGGGACAAGGCGGACATGGGATGTGTACCCGTGCCATCGCAAAACAGATTCAGCTGACCAGAATGCGGACATGGAAGCCGCCACTGAACAGACTCTTCTCCGAGACGCATCAATGCATCCCATAGCACCAACTGTTTTGGATTCTCGCTTGGAAGTCCATGCAGTTTCAAATCATCTGGAAAGTTCTCCCAGCATCGCAGCTCATTGGCATGATTTGCATGGATACATGTTTCGAACAAGCCCTATACCTATGTTCGGGGGTATCAGGGACCCCACACTGCAAGCACGTACCCGAAACCCCCGGCTCACACTTGGCCAAAGAAGCCCCGGTGAAAAAAGCTCCCTCTCAAACAATGCCAAGACACTCAAGTGCTACAGGGCCATAGGCCTTATCGACCTGTTGCAAAGTGTCAGCATCAAAGCCAACTAGCTCACTGTAGCCATTCCTCAATGAAAGCTCTGAAGCAATTTTCCTCCGCCAGAAAAAGAGCCCCAGAGACTCTTGTGGGACACTCTTGTAGGACACTCTTGTGGGTCACTCTTGTAGTAAACTCTGGCGGGAGTGGGACACGCTATCTGGGACACTCTTGTGAGACACTCTTGTAGGACACTCTTGTGGGACACTCTTCTGCGAAACTCTTGTAGGACACTCTTGTGGGACACTGTTGCGGGACATTGCGGGACACTCTTGTGGGGCTTTCATGCGGGACACTCTTGTGGGACACTCTATCTGGGACACTCTTGTGGGAGACTCTTGTGAGACACTGTTGTAGGGCACTCTTGTGGGACACTCTTGTGGGACACACTTGTAGGACACACTTGTGGGACACTCTTGTAGGACACTCTTCTGGGCCACTCTTGTAGGAAGCTCTTGCGGGGCACTCTTTTGGGACACTCTTGATACCACCCGCTCACCAGCGACACGCCGCGTTTACACCAGCCTGTTTCACGCTCCCCAGTGGCACGGCGCCACGCAAACACACTTTCCACCAACCCTAAGTAAACATATCACATGATATGATACCGCAAATCATCCCGCTCACCAGCGACACGCCGCGTTTACACCAGCATGGTTCGCGCTCCCCAGTGGCACGGCGCCACGCAAACCTTTCCACCAAGGCCGCGCAAATCCCAATGGCACTGCGACATCACGAACGTCGCGTCGCCACGCGGTCTGCCCATACACTAGAATCAAACATGTCACACGATACCACAAATCATCCCGCTCACCAGCGACACGCCGCGTTTACGCCAGCCTGTTTCGCGCTCCCCAGTGGCACAGCGCCACGCAAACGCACTTTCCACCAAGGCCGCGCAAATCCCAATGGCACTGCAACATCACGAACGTAATCTCGCCAAACGGTCTGCCCACACACTAAAAGCAAACATATCACATGATACCACAAATCATCCCGCTCACCACGACACGCCGCGTTTACACCAGCATCATTCGCGCTCCCCAGTGGCACGGCGCCGCGCAGACACACTTTCCAGCAAGGCCGCGCAAATCCCAATGGCGCTGCGACATGACGAACGTCGTGTCGCCACGCGGTCTGCCGTCTGCCCATAAAGCATTCACGTCACATGATACGACAAATCATCCCGCTCACCAGCGACACGCCGCGTTTGCACCAGCCTGTTTCGCGCTCCCCATGGCACGGCAACACGGAAACGCACTTTCCACCACGGCCGCGCAAATCCCAATGGCTCTGCAACATCACACGCGTCGTGTCGCCACACGGTCTGCCCACACACTAGAAGCGAACGTATCACACGATACCACAAATCATCCCGCTGACCAGCGACACGCCGCGTTTACACCAGCCTTTTTCGCGCTCCCCAGTGGCACGGCGCCATGCAAACGCACTTTCCACCAAGGCCGCGCAAATCCCACTGGCACTGCGACATCACGGACGTCGTGTCGCCACACAGTCTGCCCACACACTAGAAGCAGTCACGCGCGCGTTTGGTACGAGACTTCCTCCAAAAGTCACGCTTCTAGGCTGCACTCCGAGCGTTTCGTACGAGACTTCCTCCCAAAAGTCGCGCTTCGAAGCTGCAAGACAAGCGTTTCGTACGAGACTTCCTCGAAAAGTCACACGTCAAGTCTCCAAAACGAGCGTTTCGTGCGAGACTTCCTCCAAAAGTCACGCGTCAAGTCTCCAAAACGAGCATTTCGTACGAGACTTCCTCCAAAAGTCACGCGTCAAGTCTCCAAAACGAGCGTTTCGTACGAGACTTCCTCAAGAAGAAGTCACACGTCAAGTCTCCAAAAGGAGCATTTCGTACGAGACTTCCTCCAAAAGTCAAGCGGAAACACCCATCGGAGCATACACATCACACACAGCCCTGCCAAGCAGTTTTGCGAGTCCAGCCCCTCCAAACAACGCCCGCTCACACGCCGATCCCAATGTCACAGCGACATTCACCTCTGCCACAACTCACAACCTCACGATTCCCTGCGCCTGCCACGAGTCTTTCCGCGTCCACACGTCTAAAGCAAACAAAGTACTGCGCCTGCCACGCAATGTCACCTCCGTCACACCTCGCAACCTCACGATTCCCTGCGCCTGCCACGAAAATCGCACTTCCACACCTCAAAACTCTGAGCACACTCCCATCCACCAAAATCGCCATGTCAGCTGAGACTTGTCACGAAACAGAGCTTCGATGCCACACCCTGAAACGCAAATCCCAATGGCACAGCCCCATCCAATACCCCAAAACACCACTCTCCAAACGCTAATCCCAATGGAACTGCGCAGAAAACTGTGGATCTCACAAAACGCTGCGCCTGCGCAGTGAAATCTTCCTCCACCAGTTGACACGAATCTGACACGTCACGTTTTCATCCGAAACCCTCTCCAAAAGCTTCCTCCAATGGCAGCGCCTTAGCGCTCTACTGCGGACGGTTGCGAACTTAGAAACCACGGGTCGCGAACAAGGCTCTACCCCCAGACCCCCAGAGTTAAACGAGAACCCTTCGCTACGCATTCGGGAAAAACTGTCAAAACCACCTTTCTTGGAGCCCCTAGTAGCCTAGTAGCGTCCTTGCTCCTAGTAGCGATGCCCTTTGCTCCTAGTAGCTTCTTGCTCGACACGTTTGTTTAAATCTACAAGTTGTCACCTTCCCACTTTTCATAGGTATGGCCAGGCGCCTCTCCAAGTTCTTGCCGCTGCCTGAAGTGAGCAGTTGTGTGACGGGGCTGTGACTCTGTGCGAGTCATCGTATTTAGATACCGCATCTGATAGGATATCTATCGAAGAACAGACTGGATAGTGTGGGGGCGCTCCTCACTGGTCACCTGCCATAAGGGCAGGATTCCCAGAGATTCGCTGAAAGGGGCTGTTTGTGGAGTATTGACCAATGTTGAACGTTTGGTCAATGTTGTTCTTCGTCCATTTTTTTAAGCAAACAGGCTGTGTGGGAGTTCCAAACATGCCCGAAAGGACCACGATGTGGTACTGGGTTACTGTACTGTTGTACAGTTTTTTTTCGGTCAAGCGGCTTTAGGTTGAAAATTGTGTTTTTAAGAGTCATCGCGGCAATTACAATCCTTTTGTCATTGATTCTGGTGTCTTGGGAACATCATTCAACAGGGCAGCTTGACAGATTTGCAAACTTGCTGGGTTCAGGAACGCATATGTGATATACCTGGTTTTGCTATGTTTTGCTTAGGGTGTGTGAACCAGGATGTTTGTTTCTCAGTTCCTTAAGCCCAAGTATGTATAGTGACAATTCAATACATTTTGCGGGCTGTTCCCACAAGTTTGCCTTTGCGGTCGATAGTGTATAAAGGTCCAGTCCTAGGCTCTTCGCACTGGGCCAGGCTACTATATACCGTAGGCCGTTTGTGTGTAGCACATGGCAAAGGTCCACGATTTGTGTTGCAATCGGAATCTCCAGGCAACATGGCAATTTGAGCAAGATGGAGCGGAACTGCTGCAAGAGTTCGAAACACAAATTGGGACCTTTTGATGCTTGCACTTGTGGGGAAGACCTGGCAAAGTGCAACCAATGAAAAGAACACAAAGGGTTAACTGATTAACTGCTCCCTGCTTGGGGTGTTGCCCCTCAAAATGACTAATCAGGCAAAAAAGAGAAATGTGTGGGAACAGCTGGCAGTCACACGTGCAGGTCGCTTATCAAGCTGGCCTGCTGAACGTTACCCTGCTGAACCAATGACACATGCCAGGATGACGTGAATAAACAACCAAACCAAATTTCTAGCCTCTTGGCTGAAACACAGGCATGATGATGCTGCAAGCACTGGGTGGAAAAGTGATGTCCAAAGGCAGTGGACATGATAGGACAAAATAGGAAACCATCAAGTGCCACCTCGCCAGCCAGTGAAAAGCTGGATAAAAGGTGGGATGGGCAAGTGCCCTACGGCCATGGCCCTCATTGGACAACACCAGACAAATATTTGACGACACTGGTGTGTGTTTTATTTTTGAACTCGAACCTCCAAGAAACACGGCTATCGTTATCAATATTCTCAGGGTGTTCTTGCTATTTGCGCAAGATAAAGCGGAACTGTTGGGAAAGTTAAAGCCAAGAACTGTTTGACTCCTTTTGGGCAGATGGCAACGGACAGCTCTATTAAGGGCTTGTAAATAAACCGATAACAATAACGAGAAGATGAAAAGAATACATATATATATATATATACGAAGCAATAGCAGACATGCTCAGTCTCACAAGTTGTGACCGCAGGTCGCACTTCGGTTCAAGAAAAGGACCGCGTTCGCATATGTTCGCATGGTAGCTCCCAGGTCCCCGCAATCTTGCGGATGGCCTGACAAAGTATGTAGCCACACAATCGCTCATGACTCATCATCAGTGTCCTCAATAGTGGACAATACTCGTTGGCGGATGAGAGTACCCTTTTGGAATGAGCTCAATCCTAAAAGGTCAAGATGAAGAAGAATTTCAGTGGCAATGGTATGTTGCTTTGTAAGATCCTTTTCTCGTGGCAGTAAACAGTCCATGACCAAAGCAATTTTGGTGAGTATTGAAAGTGATACCCTTGGTCATGTATTATCGCTTCTCAATCTCGAAGGGAGGGCAGTACAGCGCAGTGTGTGGATGAAAGGTGCTAGTCCTGTCAATTTTGGGGTGTCGGTCCCTAGTATTCTCAACATGTTATACGACTTGTAGATTGGCGCCGATGTTATGAGTTTATTGTATTCGTGGTGAAAAAGCGTCGGTGATGAATATTGGACGGCGTTATTGATATTCATTTTTTTGTATTTGATTTCATTTCACATTATTATTTATTTTAAAATATATGGAAAAAAAACATATATATATTTATATTCCTTATTTTTGAAAAATAAATATATTTGATAAAAATATTTTATATATTACAAGACGAATATTAAAAGGATATTATGGTAAAATATATTCTATATTATGGATAAAATATAATTAAATATTTATATAATTAATATTATAAAATTGTAAATGAATATTATTGAAAATAAATTATTAGCAATATTTTTAAAATTATAATGAATAATAATTTTTTAATATTTATTTATGCGTTAGGCATAATGGTATTATATGAATTTAATTTGAAAGAATATGAAATGGATTGATGATAATAATAATATTAAATATTAGAAAAAAAAAAATGGAAAATATTTTAGGATATATTATATTAAAATTTAATATAAATTGATAATATTTATATATTATATTGGATATATTTGGAATAGCGTGGCTAAATGCTTTCGATTTACTAAAATAATGTCGTTATTGTCGGAAAAGATTTAAGAGCTTACAATTTAGTTCTTTTAATTGGCTAATTAGGGAGATTTGATTTAATATTTTTTAGTTCTCTAAGCCTGTGACGATATTTTGGCGCCTCGACTTTAGCCTTAGGAGTGTAGTTTCGATTTAGTTATTCGAGTTATTTAACACCTTGAGCGGAAATGGAATTTGCCAATTGCTTCTATTGTACTTGAGACCAACCTACCTGCAAAGATCCCCGCTTATTACCGCAGTCGTAAACCTTGTGAGACGTTGATGCGCCAATTGCTTCGAACTAATATCTACAATTTATCTAATGTGTGTTACATTAATGCAGCATTGCTTGGGCAGCTTTGGGGTCATTCTAACCTGTGAGGATTTTGATCCTGAGTTATGGAATTAGTGGAGCACATCTCTGTTTGAATTGCTCGACACCCCTGAAGGTATGGATATTTGTGCTTCAATTCCTTTTTAACGTCTATTGCAATTTTGGTTTAATGACCATGTACCCACTGACCAGCAGGATGCAGCAGAATTTTTGGGTTGGCTCCGAGGACAATACCTCCTTGGCTATGTTTGGGGACAGGAGTCTAATGGCTGGCAAATACGCTTGGCGTACTCCACTGAAGACCGAGGTGCACTCCTTGCACCCTTGCTCCTTCGTATGCCGGAAGAAAAGAGATGTGACCTGCAAATTTTGATCAACATATGGCATTGTCAAGAACCATTCACGAATGCCTGCATCCATGCATAGTGTTGCAAATCGAAAGATTTCCTGCCCTTGCTTTGAAGCGAAAGATTTCCTGCCCTTGCTTTGAAGCGCGACACACCCGTGGACTTCTCTCGTGCTGAGGTCCACGTACGGGTCTTCAACAATAGCGTAGGCAGGGATGTCAATTGGCTTCAATATAGAGTGGTGGCCATTGTGGGTCATTTTGGAGATGATCCTGACAGCGGCCACTACCAACGTCTTTTTCTCAACTCGGGAATCTCTTGGCTGACTGATGATGGCAAGCCGGCCACCAGGTGCTCGGTAGTTGATCCAATCCGCCGCTCAGCCTATTTGTTCTGGTTGGTTCCGCAAGAAGATATGAATATGTGGTGGCGGCGACCCATAGGGAACATGACCGTCGACCTGTCCGATTTGCTGGCTACGGCCTTTTCCGAATGAGCCTTTTGCACCTTTTCGCATTCGCAAGCTTCGTGATTGTGGCTAGATGCTCTTGAAGCACCCGCAACTTTGTTGTTATGCTGCCCAACACGGGCCTGACCTCACTCAGGCTGGAAGTGAATGAATGAATGACAAGATAAAATAGAATTTAAGAAAATCAATTTAAATAAAATTGATTATATATTATATATTTAAATATGAATATTAAGTGTTATTTTAATCTCGAATTCCGGTAGCTATTTCTTTGTAGCACTTCTCATTATAATTCTTGTATTTTTTGGTTCTGGATTTTCCTTGACCTTTGAATTTTTTGATGATTAGATATTTTTGGCTGCTCTTTTTTTGCAATACAGAGGCTGGGAATCCTGGTCCTAAATCTAGGGCCTATGGATGCGGTAGCACTGGCTTTCGTTCCGAGCATATTTATCCGTTTCGTGATCGTTGTCTAATGACACCTCAATTCCGGATGAAAGTGGTGGCTAGACTATCTTTACTGCACAACAGAGCTTGTCCACGAAGTCTTCAGAGATTTGGGCTAGAGGAGGCTACGGCCTTGTTGTTTCCCGGCCGCGCATCGTTTAGATTAAAAGAACATATAAACGAGCTTGCTTCCGTGCCCTTTAACACGGATACACGAGATATAGAAGGGGATTTCTTCTTGCGGTTGATGTGCTTTGGCGCTTCAAAGAAGCCTATAGAAGATATTCCTAACAGTTCTTGGCCTTCGGTGTATGACTTGGAATGCTATTAAATCCTTGGTTCACGATGAAATTTTACATTGGTGCCACACACAACCATTGAACATTATTGCATTATAGGAAATTGGATGGAATCTTAATGCCACCTGGACATCCCAAGGTTGGCATTGCATCCACTCCTCTACGACGAATATCTCCATCTTGGGGCTTATTAGGGGAACGGTTGCCCGCCCTGAATAGATAGCTACATGGCCGAATTCTTCAGATCCGCCTTTTCCTGGATTGCACTTATGACTTCATTATTGTGTATGAGCACTCATGGAATGCTTCCAAGGGTAAGGATCCATTCCTTGCCAATCGGGCCAAGATTTGGAACAACTTGCATCAATTTCTGCATCATATTCTTCGCCAGAATTTGATGGTATTGATGGGTTATTTTAATATTACACTCCTCTTCGATCCGCCATATATCAATAGCCATGATATTCGTGCATCCTCATGTATTCACACTGACCGAGATCTCTTGCAACAGCTGACGCGGACACAGGACTTGATTGCATTACATTATAAATACCAATATGCATCCACACTTGCACATGGATTGCATCATTCACATATTGATTATATTTTTGTCAGATAGCATCAGATTCAATTCAGATGTATGCAACCCACCATGGATAGGATATTCATGAGGAATTTTGGCACCAAGACCACATCATCATCCATTTGTCCTGCCCCGGTGGTATACGCCTCGGAAACCTGTGCTTGCACTGAATAATATCGATAGATTTGTCATTCGAACAACACGCTTGGAGAACACATCACAATGGCAAATATTTGAGGTTCAGATCCGCCAATGCATTGATAGACATTCTCAACTTCAGCGGCCACAGGAGGTCTCCATGCAT